TCCAGAATCATCCATCCATTTACATATTCAACTGTTCTGATTTGTATTCAGTGTTTACTTTATTGTAGAACAGACCTTTTCTTTCTACATATTTTCTATTTTATGTTACAATTCAGATCTTAAGATCAAATTTATAGTACTACTTAATTTTTAAGGCCAGATTTCACTCTAGATCTTACTTTTTAAACATTTGGAATATTTTAAAATTTTCTAGAAATTTTCTGATATCATCTAATTTACTATCATAATCATCATATATTCAATTCTTCTAGACATTCAATAAAGATACACAATAAGAAAAAGGCCTTGTTTCATCAGAGTTCAAAGCTTTGCAAGAAAAATATATATTATTTATATGCTCATCACTGGTTTTGTTTGGATCCTTGAAACTTGACACTAAAAAAGCTCTTTGCAGGCATCTGTGATAAAGTTCTATTTCCTTTATACTGTGGAAATATCTTTCCTTCCAAATAATACTTCAATTTTTCCATTCGCACTTCAATTTTAAATAAGTTTGATGGACTAGACATTAAACACTTAAATTAATCTTTTCTTTTTATCATCTTCTTCTTTACAAAGGAAATTATGTTTCTGCTCATTTTCAAAGATCTTGGAGATTCTTTCCCTGTGGTGACTGTTTTGGGTACAAATATGTCTTAGCAAATAACATGCAATTATGTTATCAGCAAAATAGCTTGTCAGTACTACAAGTAAACAGACCAATAGCAGACAATTTGCAAGCTTGGGAAAGATCTACATTTATGGAGAAATGAGAATTATACTCCATTTTCCTCCTTAAAGCAAACAAGGATAATATTTTTATATGCCTTAATAGTATGTAATAGACTTTTAAAGCTGTCTTTGTGATAATCTCACCTGAGTTATCAGGATAAAGGAAACAAGTGTCAGTTTGCAGTTGGGAAAGTTTGCTGCTAATTTTATGATGCTTTTATCAAATTGAAAAAGAATAAAAGTGGTATTGAATACATCTAGAATTAAATGTTGAATAAATTTTATTCTAAATGAATAATAAATAAAAAATAACTCTGTGTGGGACAGTAAGTCTTGACCAATGGAATGGTTTGACTTCTCTAAAGCAATGAAAACAATAACCTATCATTCTCCTATATGTAAGGACAAAATGAGCCCCTCAGTGTAGAAGTCTTAAGTGATACCTCTATATTAAAATAAAGGAGTGGTTAGGTAACGTGAAGAATGTTTTAAGAGGCTTGATTCCCAGATAGGGAATGAGGCTCACTTAGTGAACATCTTGCTTTTTGAGATTATATTTTTGGACCAGTTTGATTCCACTGACTTCTTCTATCAAAATAAGCCTAGCAAATGAATACAAACTGGATCCAGAACAGATAAATCAGAGTCAATGAGCGGTTTTTACAACTATCCATTATCAATAACATCCTCCTGAGAACAGCCAAAGCATTTGAATATCTACCTTTCAGTCTGGGGAGAATAAGGGTAGGTCATTAACAGCAAGTCTTTTTTCCCCTTCTTTGTTTAAAACTATTAATAAATGAATCATTTTTTAAATTTTTAATGTATTAAGTGTCTAATATCACCAAATCTTATGGAAGGCAAGAGTAGATCAGGGTAAGTTAGCCTAAATTTTTCACCTGGTCCAAAAAACATTTTGTTATAATTAGTCTATTTAGATCACCCTCAGTTTTTTAATCTTCTGACTTATCATGACATCTTTATAACCACCAATATTATCATGTTCCCTAAATATTTTTGTAAACAGATTTTTAAATTTCTAAATGTCATAACAGTATTGTGACAAAATAATGTTTGCAAATACAAACTGAACCCCTCCCCAAGGGTCCCCATAATTTTGTGGTGTCCTCTGATCCTTTCCTAGGTTACTTGAGCACCAAAAATCATTGTCTCCCGAAAAAAAGAGGTAGACAAAGAAAAACTTGTTACCCGAGAAAAGCTTTTGATAGTTTGTATTCCTATTCCTAAAGGCAACTTAGTGCTGAGTAAAGTTTTAATTCCCTGAAATAGATATGTTTCCTATCCCCTGTAATAGATAAATGGTCTTAGGATAGAAGACCCAAAATAGAAGAAGTAAGTATATAGTCATGTGGGCCCCTCAGCAAGAAAGAACATAGATCCTGATAAAACCCTCCAGACAGCTTTAGGGCATCTGAAAATGGAAGAGGCTTATGATCTCCTTTCCAAGGAAGTGGAATAATTCCTGTGTCTCACTTTGATTTCAGAGTTATCTAAAAAAACAACCAGACCTGAATATTTTATGGTCAAGAGCATTACCCTACAAGAGAAATATAATTATGCTAATTACATATTGGTAAAGTCTTTATTAATCTTCCGTGTTTTCATATTCAATTTTTTATTGTGTAAGGAAAACAACAGCATATATCTAGTTATTTATCAGTTAAACAATCAAACAAAAACCCAAGAAACATGATTATTTCTTCTTCTATCATTTATGCATAAAAAAATGAAAATTGTAGAAAAGTCATCTATGACCTTGTTTAACATATAATCCTGAATACATATAAGTCATCTATGACCTTGTTTAACATATAATCCTGAATACATATAATCTTCTACTAAAGCCGTGTATCCCTCAGAGACACTCATGTTGCACATTTAGAATATAAGAGTAATTCTTTTTTTTTTTTTTTTTTTTGAGACAGAGTCTCGCTTTGTTGTCCAGGCTACAGTGAGTGCCTTGGCGTCAGCCTAGCTCACAGCAACCTCAGTCTCCTGGGCTCAAGCAATCCTGCTGCCTCAGCCTCCCGAGCAGCTGGGACTACAGGCATGCGCCACCATGCTCGGCTAATTTTTTCTCTATATATTAGTTGGCCAATTAATTTCTTTCTATTTATAGTAGAGACAGGGTCTCGCTCTTGCTCAAGCTGGTTTCGAACTCCCGACCTCGAGCAATCCACCCGCCTTGGCCTCCCAGAGTGCTAGGATTACAGGCGTGAGCCACTGCGCCCAGCCTATAAGAGTAATTCTAAATAAATGTCCCTGGCACTAACAAAAAAATTAATTAATAAAGATAGAAAGATAAAGAGATAATGGAGTTATCCTTAGAAACTTTTCCTTATTCTCAGCAGAAATGCATATGCTCCTTTCTATACTTTTCAGATAGCCAACAAAAATCAGATGTTATAAAATACTTACTAATTTAGCACAGGTAAATTCTGCTAAACAATTCATCTTAAACACATTATGGACTATAACTCTAGCCACTTCAAAAGAACAAATTAAAAGGAACTCATGGGAGCAAATACAACCTGAAAATGCAATGATGGCAAACTTTAAATGAGCACAAGTGCCTATAGGTTTTCTGCATGATCTCCAGGATCATATGACGTACCAAAGACGGTAAGTTAAGTAAGTAACTTTCAGCCCATTCAGCTCTTATATGTTTCTAGTAACAAATAGCTCCACTGGATAGTAGCCTAAATTATGTTTGCCAAAGATTTTGTTCCAGTCTTGCTGTATAATCCTGTAACTAAACATTAATTCAAGATTTACATATTTTCCTCATTTTTTCTGTCTAAGCACAGATTTTGTTTTCTTTAACATAGAAACTTGATTTTCACTTTTCACCTCATAAAATCTGAGCCATAATAATCAATCATATATTTTTTTGGTAGAACATAATTATAACTGTGAATAAAATCAAAATAAAAAATATATATGTATATTAAATTTAAATTGTTTATACAATTAGTTACTCATATTCTCCTATTGCATTTATGGGCTTATTAAAATACTCTATAAGCTTCTCTATAAAGTGTTTCATTTATTTTATAGATCTTCTATTTCATTTTCGTTCTTTCCCCAACCTCAGACACCAGCTCTCGCTCTAACTCTTGCTCTGTGTAGGTGTCTTTGTTTCTTTCTGACTAGTTCTTTTTAATCATTCAAATTCTATTCAGGAACCAGAAAAAAAAAACCACACTTTAAGAGGACAGTTTCTTTCCAGTTTCTATTTTCTTCCCTTACCAAAACAAAAATTTATTTTCAACATACAATAATCATGAACGAACTTTTATTTTATATAACCTACGAGATCAATGCCATTTAAAGACATTTTTTTTAGTACTATACTCATTTAGTAAAGTACCTCAAGGAGTCTGTGTATATTTGTAGTTGAAGTAGGTTCTCAGCATGTGATATTCAGACACCTGCTATAAGAATCATTTGTGAACTTCTATAAAATGTAAAAGTCTATAATTGTCCTCATGGGAAAGTTGGTTCTTTGGGGAAGGAGAATAGGAATCTGAAAGTTTATGATGAAGCCTAGATAATCTTTATATGCACTAATGTTTGAGAACCGATCAACTTAAGATGACTTTTTCTCAGGTCTACTTTTAAGGTGTACTTTAAAAATCAATAGAAACCCTAAGGATTAAAGACGCCATGCTCTTTCAGGCAATCATCTGACACAGGTTATTATAATAAATGAGATAACAAATCCAGAGAGGTTGACAAAGTCCCCAGTATCATAGAGCTTGAAAATGGTTGAGGCAGAATTTATCCCCTATTCCATTTAACTCTGAAGCTTACTTCATCCCAGAGTTTTGGGTATCCAAACTGTTTAGTTCTGGAGCCTAAAAACTCTTAACCCTTCAGATCATTTAAAAGAAATAAATTAAAGGGTTTGGACTAGGTTATGATTCTGGGTGCTGTGGAGTTTGAACTAAACTGTAGTCTAGAGAAGCTATGATTGACTAAAGTCACAGTGCTAACGGCAGATTCAAACAGCCACAGTCTATGAACTCACATTTAGTGCCTCTTTCAAATTCATCTTTTATAGTTTAAAATATAGTTATTTCTCAATTCTTTATAAATATTTCATATTCAAAAAATCTATGTTCTGGATCTGGTACCACTGTAGTATTATCAATTGTTATAAAAAATATTATAGGTATAATATAAGAAATAAAAGCTACATGCAGCGAAAGCAAAGTAGGCAACCAGAAGTCATCTATATTCCTTACCTTTACTATCACCGTGACAGTAGCAATACCAGGTGGCATCGTTCCATAAATATCAAAGGCCTCCACCAGAAACGTGATACTTGCTTCTTGGTCTGGAAATGCCTCGTAATCTAAACTCCTTAAAAGGGATAGTTCTCCTGTAAATGGATGTAGTGCAAACAAGTGCTTCACTTCTGGGCTTCTTATCCGATAAGACACATTTGCTCCAAGGTCAACATCTTTGGCCTGTAACAAGTTAAGCAGAAGAATAGTTGTACTAGTGACATTACTGAAGAAGAGAAATGCAGGATGGATAGAAGTCATGTGTCAGTGCCTAGGACAGCATGAATGTAATGATGGTCAAAAGACACATTAAAAAAAAAAATAACACTTTGTTAAATACTTTAATAAAGAGAGGGAGGGAGAAAGAGAGATCTACCCATGAGATTTTATCTTTGTTGATGTTATTACTATATCTTTTTATGTGAAAAATCACCAAATGAAAATCGTACCACAGTGAAGAAATATTGTTATAAATGATTGTGTGTTATTTCCTGAAGATTTAATAATCATGAAAATAATATTTAAAATAAAATAAAATTATAAAAATAAATTATATCAAGTGATTTCCATAAACATAATAGAGTGCTAAAGGACTATAAGAAGACTAAGAAAATGTAAGTGGAAATTTATTCTCACAGGGATTCTGTGATAACATTCTTAGAGATCACTCTATTAGACCTCCCTTCATTTAACTAATATTTGAGAAGTAGTTATGCACAAGGTGCTGTGAAGATCACCAAGATGAATCAAGATACAATTACTGCCCTCCAGGTAATGGTCTCAAAGAAGAAATGACACAAATATCCAAATAGAAGGAAACAAAATAGTGATGCATCATCTAAAAGGTGTTCCAAATTGGGAATGATATCTTTTAGCTGAAAGAATTCTTTTTTATGGAAATATTATAGAATAGCTATTTCGATTGGTAGCGTAGACTGGCAAATGCACCTCAGGTAAAGAAAATGGAACGGAGCAAGAATAAAAATGTAGAAGATTCAGGATATGTAAGAATGTGCATTTTTAAATACAAACGTCTCCTCTCTCCCAGGATTTTGAGCTGGTTTATTTACTGCTTTGAATAATCTTTCTTTCCTCTTTTCTTGAGTAACTCTTACTTGCCACTCGGTTCACGCTTTAGAAAGAACTTTTTTCAGTAAATGTTTCCTTTGCTTTCAGATTAGATTAAGAGCTCCACCTGTATTATCCTAAACCCTTTGTATTGATGACCTATGTTCTAACTATCAATTTATTTGTCTGATTGTTAAATCAGACTGAAAACTTAAAGATGGCAAGAAATCTATCTTGTTCACCTTTGCATGCCCAAAGTCTAGCCGAAGATTTGGCACACAGTAGACACGGAAGATATACTTGCTAAATACATGAATTAACTAATTGATTGATGAATGAAGAAATAAATGGAGAGATCCTCTTCCTCTTCCCATCTTATTTACACTTATTAATGTTTATTGCCTAAGTGAATATTTGTTGAGTTCAATTATAGGAGGAATACAGATCCTTTATTTTTTTATTTTTTAAAATTTTTTTATCTCAAATTCTGTGGGTACAAATATTGTTAGGGTTACATATCTTGCCCCTGCCCCTCCTCCCCACCCTGCTCTGCCAGAGCTTCAAGCATGTCCAGTCTCCAAGTGATTCTTGAAAACCACACCAACAAAATTCAAGTTGTGGATTGCACATGAAGCAACAACTATAAAATTTTGTTTCAAAAATACCTCATAGATCACCTGAGCCAGAATCAAATGGAGTGTTTGCTAAAACATGTGGATTTATGGGTCAACCTAACATACTGAATCAAAATGTCCAGAGTTTCTGGTAATTTATACTCAAAAATTAAAAAAAGATCCTTGGATATGGAGATACCATTAAAAAGGATACTTAGATTCCTAAAAATGTATATTGTATACAAAAAAAATACAGAATACAGAATTATGGTTACAATATCTGTATAATATAGTGGAACCCATACATATGTATGTGTGCATATATATGCATGTATGTAACATATACATATGCATGTATATGTTATATATGCACACATCCACACAAATGCATATTTATGTATATGTAAATATTTACTTGATATTTATGTGAGAACAAATATAACTGTAAAAGAATATTCATGAATGTTTAATACTGAGTACTTCCGAGGCACAATGTGGGAGATTATTAACTTTTGCTTCATAGACTATTGTATTGTTAGCTGTTCCAATAAACATACAACATTACTTTTGTAAATTAAAAAAACTATTAAAAAGTGTCATTTTCTTACAAATTAATCATTCTCCCTTTAATTTTGAGATATATCTAAAGTATGGTTGCCATATAAAATATAATATCCAATATTTGAGATATACTTACAATAGAAAATTATTTATTGTTTATATGAAATTAAAATTTAACTTGGTGTGTTATATTCTTATTTGCTAAATTGGGCAAACTCTAATAGCAAATCTTATAATGTAGAACTCATGAAATTAATGCTTCTTCTACACACCTCTATTTGAAGGAAGGTGGTCCCAGCTGGCAGATTTTCTTCCACAACGACAGTGTATGTTGAATTGGTGAACACAGGACTATTATCATCAATATCCAAAACCTTGATGGCCAGTGTTAGAGTTGAATGACGAGGGTGTACTGCTCCATCTGTTGCCACAACAACAAGTTCATAGTAGTCCCTGACTTCTCTGTTAAGCTTCACTGCTGTGTAAATGCTCCCATTGGATGTAATGCGAAAAAGGTTATTGAAGTTACCCAAACTGTAGTGTACTTGACCATTTATTCCAGCATCAGGGTCTGTTGCCTAAATGAAATGAAAAACAAAGGAATTCACAGAATAACTTTTGGTATGCTGCTAATAGATGAAGGGGACAGTTAATGAGCTATGACATTCTTCTAACCAAATGTTCTTTTTTTCTCTAAGGATAAAATTAAAAAAGACAATGACAATCCAATTCAAAGTCTAAAACATTAAAAAAAACTAAAGTTTAATTAATATCCTCCATTCAAAATTAGTATAACTTATAAACTAATAATGTAATTAGCAATAACAATATATTATGACATAAAAATCTTATTTTATAAATACTGAATTGTTCATGCATTATCATTTTTAATATGTTTTTGATACTAAAGAAAAATATTTAATTTTTAATTAACTAAACATAATTTGCTGACAATTTAAGTGACAATTTAAGATCCAATAGTTTTTGTTAAAGTACTTTATATATTCATTTTCACATTTGTATATGTTTAATAACATTTATTTATAACAAATATTTGTTATAAATAATCTTCATAAATAGTACCTCATTTAATCCTCATGATGTTCTTATGAGTAAATATCATTGGTTTCATTTTACAAATGAGAAAACTCTGGCTTATGGAATTTAATTATCTTGCTTAGGGTTATTCAAGAATTAAATATCTCAGTGCCCAGTTCTTAGTATAATATTTCACATATAAAACTACTTAACAAATACTTGTGGAATTAATGAATATTAGATTAATTGAATATATAGAGCTGAGATTCAAAACTTAATCTTCCCCCAAATCCAATTGGTACTAAAAATACAGTAACTATAAAGTACCTGCAAGGGCACTTAGTTAATACTGGAATACAAGTCCCCAAATAAAAACTGAGAATTGGTCAACCATAATGAATCTGTATTCATGGAAAAATTTTAAATCATGTAAAATCTCTTTTAATCAAATAAAATGAGTAAATTTTGAGTTGATATTCATCTAATGGAATGTTATGAGAATCTCATCTAAAACTCAGTTGTGGTACAAATTATGATTCTTACTATGAAGTACTGTATATTTTGGAGTCAGATACACTACCATTGTGCCACAAGGCCTCCCAGAAGTATTGTATTATTTTGTGTTAAATCTTTCTATGTTATTGTTCTTTACAGAAACTAGAATAAATCTTAGAAACTGTGAAATGTTATATAACTATGCTATCAACAAGGAAATTAAGGAAAATAAGACACTTGGCAGCCTTATGAGCCAGGGGAACAATAATAACTTAATGTCCACAAAACCTGGAATTCAATAGGATGTATTTAACAGCACGTATGCAGTTATATATCCTGCTTTATGAACACTGGTGAAGTATGTGGGATGGATTTGCTGAATGCTTGTGTCTTGTTTGCAGTGACAAAGTTCAAGATATAAAAATCATGTTTATAACTGTGCTCCTCCTGTATGTCACAATGCAGGCATTTCAGCAGGATTTGTCTCTTTGATTCATCAAAACACAAATGTCCCTGGTAGTTAAACATCTCTTGAGGTTTACTCCTGAGAAAAGATAGTAGAATTACAGGAATGCCTCCAAAGGGGGAAAAATACTGTAAAAGAGTTGAAGAGTTTCTATTGACATATTTTCTTCTACTTTTATACTTTGCCTAGAGTTTGCCTTACAAATTATTGAAAAATTAGTCAGGTTAGTTATCTGAGTGGAAAAAAACAAGGACCATTGTCTCCTACTCTGCCCCCTCCCCCAAAAAATAGGCCTTGATTCATACTACCAACACTCTTAAAATTTTCAGTCACTTTTTATGCCTTTGGAACATATTAAAACTATAGAAATCAATGATTTATGGCAATTAGTAACTTAAATGACTCTTGATCAAGTTGTTTATTTATTCATATAATTTAAGACTTAGAATGGTTCAATTTGACTATCTGTGTGAGGTTGTGTGTGTGTGAGTGTGTGGGTGTGAGGGGGAGGGTGTTGTATATGTATTGTTCTACATGCATCCTGCTGCTTAATGATATCTCCATTTGGAATCCTCCAATATGTCTGTATTGGTTTTCTTTTGCTGCCATAACAAATTACCACAAATTTAGCAGCTTATACAACACAAGTTTATTATCTTATAGTTCTATAGGTCAGTCCAATATGGTCTCACCAGGCTAAAATCAAGGTGTAGGCATAAATATGTTTCAAAGCCCTAGGATTTCCTTTTTCATTCAAGTTATTGACAGAATCCAAGTCACTAAAGGTTGTAGAACTGAGATCTCCACTTTTCCTTGATGGTTGACTTATGAAGACCAATCCCAGTTTCTAGAGGTCACCCATATCCCTTGGCTCATGGCTCATTCCCTCCACTTTTAAAGCCAGCAATGATGAGTAAGTCCCTTTCATGTTTTTTTTAATTGCTCTTCCTTTTTCTTCCATCTCATCTTTTTGACAGACTCTTTAGCCATCTTCTTCCACTTTCAAGGGCTTGTATGGTTATATTCAGTTCACCTGGACATCCAGGATAATATCTCCATCTCAATGTCCTTAACTTTAATCATATCTTCTAAAAATCTATAGTAATTTATATTTTTTGATGGCATGCTTTGTTGAGAGAAAATATCCAAATAGATATTCAGCAGGTAGACTAGAAGCAAATGTAAGATGAGGCAGCCTCATCAATAGGGATTCATAATTTTTAAAATAATCAGTTCAAATTTTTATAAAATGTAAGTAACATGTCAAGTACACACACACACACACACACACACACACATGCACACACATTGACCCAACCCACTATGACTTAATTCACTAAATGCCTAGCTACTATGGAAAGAAGTATATTTGATGCTTATGGAATAATACTGTAAAATCCTCCAGGAAACTACTGTAAAAATTTTAATGTGACTCCGATATACATCTAATGGAGATTAAAAGAAAAAGTAGAATGTAAAGTGCAGAACTATTTCCTTTGTTTTTCTATGTCCTCGTTAAGTGAGGAGTATAAATAAGGCCATATAAGTTAAGGAACATGGGCTGGCTGAACAAAGCAGTTTCACTAATTTACTACTATAGATGAGTATCTGGATGTTAGATAAGATAACCAAACATAGAATCCCATATTATCAGCAGTCCTGTCAAAAATTTGCATCGATGTTTAATATCTAGTCAAGCAGCTCAGTGTGTAATGCTATAATGAAACCATTTATCTTTCTAGAAATCAATTAAAAGTTAATTAAAATTGTTAATAAGAAAATCACACATCTATTCTCCCCTTGTACTACATCAAAGCAATAAACAGTAATAGCTGCAACTTTATAATCATCTGTTCACGGTTAACACATTTTTGTAATATACACCTTACTATGGGGCCTGATTTGTGGCTACTAATTTGTGAATGCATAATGCTGGGAAATTGGCTGATAGTCTGTAGTCAAATAAAGACCTCACTGGACAGAATTTTGAATATTTGCCAGAAACACTACCGCCAAATCTTAATCATTAAAAGTTAGAGTATATTAAAGACAATCAAATAATTACTTAAGAAAGAAGTCAGATGAAAGTACCTGGGCAGTTGCTGAACAAAGATTTTTGGGGGGCCAGCACCCATTTTTTGGGGTTCAGCACCCATTTTATAGCTTTCCACTTTGAAATATGAATAAGGAAATATATTTCTTAAACATTAAATTCATTCCTTTTCTTCTTTTGCTTATTATCTTTTTGGAATGGTCTACTACACAATCCTTCCCATCAATAAAAGTGAAAGCTCATTACTGGGATTCCTATACTGGGGGCTCCTAATCCTATAGAAACTTAAAAGGATGCCTCTACTGGTGGAATATATTAAGACAAAACCTCAAAGGAAAGTCTGATGTTTGCAAACACCTCTTCCATGGAGGAGTTCCTGGGTAGATTACCTGTGCAAATTGTCAGTGATTAATTCTAATTTAAAATATTTTTTAAACTTTTACCCATTCAGATTTATTACTTAGATAGAAAATCATTTGTTTATTCTGACAAAAATCAGCTGCAAGAAAAGAACTTGGAAAAGAAAATGTTATAGCTATTAAAAAGGTGTGAACTACCACGAAGCACTTAATTAGCCGAGTGTGAAGCTGAGAGGAAGCTTTGCTCTAGTTTTTGTTTGTCCTTTATAGCAATTTCAGGGGCTGTGCTTCTCACCCTGAAGCAGGAACTGTCATGATGGAGAAGTTGGGCAGTACATCCTTAATGTACTAATGACATTACTGGTGAAAATATACTTTAAATTATTACCTGTAAACTTCAAAAAGATATACAATAGTTGTATTTATTTCTGTAAAGAAGTTGAGATATTTAAGGGCTGAAATTACCAGCGTAAAAGGAGAGAAACAATTTAATGACTTAAGATGTAGGCAAATTTTTCCTCTCTCAACATAAATGACTCATTATTGAACAAGAGCAGCTAGACTTACTGGTCAGAAAGTAACAAGCACACTTGAATTGAAATCAATCACTGAAAACATAACCACAGTGAATACTTTTTCATCAAATATTGGAACTCTCAAATATTCAATCCCTAGAAATCTAGAAAACCCATATTTAAACTAGCGATTTCTCAAGGGCTCAAGCTCTAGGTTAGAACCCAGATCTTCCCCATAGTGACTCAATAGCTTTGGATGAGTTACTTGCTCTGAAGGAGCTCAGGAAATTTCACCCAAAAATATGACTCATTGGTATAAAGAGTATTTTGAATTAAAGGCCCTTAGAGGTCAATAGGTCTTGGAAGAGGCTTTCCTTCTAACTGCATAAAACCAGATGGACCCATGAAAAAAACCAAAAACAAACAATTGTCTTTCCCTCCCCTCCCCGTTATCTCAATATATTACAGAAAAGAAGATCAAGAATATAACAGATCTGGCCCAAATCATTGAAAATATAATACCTGTCTCTCAGGTTAATTTAATTTCCAAAGACAATCATTTTCAAGTCAATCTGTTTCCCCTGTCCATGTCCATTAATTCTCTGATGGACCTATTCATCCTCTCTCCCTAGTAACCATTCATTGTCCCTAA